TCGACACGCGCGCGCGCAGGGCGACGGACGCGACCCTGGAGGTGCCGCCGACGCGCCGCCGCAGGGGCCAGCCCCGCAGCGCCTTCGTCGCCTCGGCGGCCCGCTCCACGGCCGCGAGGGACAGCGCGAGCGTGAACGGCTCGCGGTCCTCCGGGTCCTCGGCCCAGGCGAGGGCGAGCACGTCGACGTCCGCGCAGCCGCTCCGGAGGACTAGAGTCTGGGCCGCGTCCGTCAAAGCGACTTCGACGGATCGCCCCGACGCCGCGAGCGACACGCGCAGGAGCCCGCTCCCCGGCCCGATCTTCAGCTTGAGCCGCGCGCGCCGCTGGGGCGGCACGGCGGCGCGCGGCACGGCCTCGAGGTCGCCGACGAAGGCCAGCGTGAACGTCACCGCGCCCGCGGCCTCCTTGTACCGCACGCGGCCGTCGTCGCTCCACGCGCCGGACCGCGGCAGGAGCTTCGCCGTCCGCCGCACGGCGCCCCAGCGGTGGCCGAGCCAGTGCTCGAGGAGCGGGCCCAGGGCGACCTCGCCCGCGGAGCTCCGGCCGCCGACGGTCGCCGCGAGCGCGAGGCGGAGGCCGCCGACCCACGCGGCGTCGCCGACCTCCGCGCCCGTGCTCCCGGCCACGGCGGCGAAGAGGCCGACGAGGTCGAGGTCCAGCGTCCCCGCGGCGCCCTCCCAGACGACGACGCCGTCGCGGCGCGCGACGCCGCCGCCCGTCCGCGCGGCGACGGCCGCGGCGGCGCCCGCGCGCGCGGCGTCGTGCGACGCGAGCGACGCGCGGACGTGGGCCGCGTCGTCGCCGAAGGCGTCGCCGTGCCGCAGCGGCCGGTACTCGGCGACGCGCACGCGGAGGTAGCGCGGCGCGCGGCCCTCGCCGCAGGACGCGACGCCGCGCTCCAGGGCCGCGGCGGCGGCGAGCGGCGCGGGCAGCCCGAAGGCCTTGGGCTCCGGCGCCATGGCTGCGTCCGGCTCCGGTGAAATGTCGACGCGCCGCAGCGATGCAGTTGGCACGCACGCGGGCAGCCCGCGGTTTGAACGCCCATCGTGTTATGCAGAGCTAGCTAACCGCAGGGCATCGTCGGCCAGATAGATTTGCTTGCCGCACTGATGCACCGTCGTACGATCTTGCGAAGTCATGGCAGCCCGCCCCCGCGCGGGAAGCTCCCCGCTGCTCACTAGGAGGCAATCGAGCAGCATCTCGAGTCGCTATAGTGATTTGTCGACGCTCGACCTCCGCGAGAGTCCCACGTCGGTGATTCTCGAACGCTCGGACTCTCTGTCCGATTTGAACAAGTCCGACGCAATTCAAAATCTTGACGGCAAATACAAGCCTCGAACGTCCTCGCGGTCCGTCCTCGTCACGATCGCGCTCTCGGTAGCACTGGGCGGCGCGCTCGGCGCGACGTACGCCACGACGGCCGCGGCCGCGCCGCCGCCGCCGCGCGCCCCGCCCGCCGCGCCGCCGCCGCCGCCGCCCGAGTGCGCTCCTCCCGCCGCGCCGTCGCTGGACATTGCGGTGCAGCCATCGCAACAGGGAGCCCTGCTCTGCATCCAGTCGCCCTTCGCGCCTCTGGGCAGACAGCTTCGAGTCCTGCTCGACAGGCTCGAGGGCCCGCGCGCGCTCCTCGAGAAGATCTGGCGCGTCCTCCTGCGACGGCCCCTGGTTTAAAAAGATCCTAGGTCGGCCCGGGCTCGTCGCCGGGGTCGGGATCCTCGGCATCGGAGTGGGCCGGGTGGCGCCCCTGGAAGTGCGCCTTCGCGGGGCCGCGCCGCTGGCGGTTGCGGGTGGCCATGGGCGACAGGGCGAAGAACGAGTCGTCGCCGCGCTTCGTGTCGTAGGTGTCGTAGTCGAGCTCGCCCGCGAAGGACGTCCGCCGCGCGTCGTCGCCGCCGTCGTCTCGGTCGTCGTCCGACCCGGCGAGCCGGTCGACGTCGATGCCGTCGACCGTCGGGTCGCTGCGCGTCTCCGCGCCGCCGACCTGGGCCGCGTGGAGCGGGTTCTTCGGCCGGTCCGTCGTCTTCTCGACGAGCTCCACGTTCGTGTCGTAGGACCGCCGCTTCGCGCGCCTCCGGAGCGCCTTCCGCGCGTCCGCCGCGCGCGGCACGCAGCACAGGCAGCAATCGAGCACTCCGTAGCACGCCGACTCGACGGTGATGCCGAAGCGGTCGTGGAGCAGGAAGCCGAGCCCCAGCGCCAGCACGGAGAAGTTGAGCGCGATGAGCAACACGCCGAGCTGCTCCTGCGAGTAGCCGTCGGCCTCGATGCCCGCGAAGATGACCAGCGACACGAAGAAGGTCAGCGCCACGACCAGATTCGCGGCGAACGCCAGCACGTTGTCCGCCTCCTCGCGGTAGGGGTGGAACTTGGCGTGGAAGACCGCGACGAGGAACGCGACCAGCGCGCCGAGCGCGATCTGCGACAGGTGGCCCGGTTGCACGATCACTAAAACAGAGCCCAGGATCAAGCGCCGCAGGGATTCGAAGACCTCCCAGTAGAAGTAGCGCGGCACGTAGGGCTGGAACAGGAACTTGAGGTGCCCCTGGCCCTCGAGCTCGAAGAAGTCGGGGATCTCGTGCAGCGCGACGACCATGGCTTCCCTCAGCGCGAGCTCCTCGACGGGCGTGCGCCGCCCGTCGAGCCGGCGGTAGGCGGCCCAGAGCTCCGCGAGCCGGGCGATCTCGTCGCGGCGCTCCTGCTCGACGACGGCCGCGCGGGACTCGACGACGGCCGCGGCGAGCGTCGGGCCCTTGGGCTTGTGCTCCGGCGACCGCGCGCCTAGCTTCAGCGACCGCGTCTTCGAGTAGTGGAGGGCCTTCTTGTTGTGCGGGCGCCCCGGGGTCGGCGACGCGCGCGCGGCGACGGACACGCGGCTCCGCCGCAGCACCGCCCTCACGGAGATCGCCGCGCGCGTCGGCGACGGGCGGAGGAGCGCCCTCGCGTGGTAGAGATTGAAGGCGTAGAAGAGCGGCACGCCGACGGGGAAGACGAATATCATGATCACGCTGTAGAGCACGAAGAGCTCGTAGGTCGTGCCCTCGCACTTGATGTTGTAGTCGAGGCGGAGGAAGGAGCCGTCGTCGAAGTTGCCGTCGCAGGAGAAGGTCTGGAAGATGGTCTGGGACACCGTGGGGAAGACGCAGAAGGTCAACAGGAGCAGCAGCGTGTAGGCGCCTTCCCAGCGCCGCTTGCGGAGCTTGAGCTGCGCGACCATGAAGAGCAGCGCCGAGCACGCCGCGATCGGGATCGCCGTCACGGTGATGAGCTGCGTGTAGAAGTTCGGCGGCGTGATGCACATGCGCTCCGCGTTGCGCGCCGCGTCCAGATTCAGCACCTGGGCCACGTCGAGGTACTTGAGGTACGACGTCGGCAGCGCGACGGACGGCAGGTTCTCCGGCACGAAGATCGTGATCTGCTCCATGACGAATAAAATCTTCGCCTTGACCTTGAGCGACTGGTAGCGCCGCTTCGTCATGGACCCGAAGACCAGACCTTCGATGTAGGCCTTGTGATAGACGAAGAGGTAGGCGCACAACGCGACGAGCAGCAGGACGCACGCCGGCGCGGCGAGGACGGTCCGCGTGTACTCGGGCGTGCACGCCTCGCAGCGGTAGATCCCCGCGGGCGCGTAGCCCGCGTCGCAGACGGCGCACAGCGGCCCCTCGTAGCCCCTCCGGCAGGACGCGTCGCCCGTCGCGTTGCCCCCCCGGCAGGCCGTCGGGTTCAGGCACTTGCGCACGTTCGTCGACGCGGGCGACCCGCGCCAGCGGCCCGCCTTCAGGGGCAGCACGTCGAGCGTCACGCCGGGCTCGTCGCAGGTCAGGCCGCCGAAGCAGTCCTCGCAGTAGCCCGCCGCGTCGTAGCGGCCCGCCGGGCACAGCGCCGACACGTTGAGCGCGGCCATCTCCGCGCCGTTGAGGGACACGTGGAGGTCCCAGACGCCCGCCTCCCGCGCGTCGGGCGTCGCGCAGTCGGCGACGAGCGCCGCGCCCTCGGGGAAGGTCTTCGTGGTCGTCGTGCAGAACTGGTAGCCGACGTACTGGACCGTCTCGTTCTCGGACGTCTGCGCCTTCTGCTTCGAGAGGACGGCCTCGAAGACCGACGCCTCGTCGATGTCCTCGGCGGCGACGCGGTCGCCGTCGGCGTCGACGGGCACGATGGTCGCCGCGGCCCGCCAGTCCTCGCCGAGCACCGGCGCCGAACTGCCCAACTCGACGTACGACTCGGACGCGACGGGCTCCGTGCGGATCTCGACGACGAGCCGGACGTCCCCGTCGCCGACGTTGGACACGCAGGCGTCGACGGCGTAGCGGAACGTGTAGGTCCCCGGCGTCGACCCGGCGGAGCGGATCGTCGCGACGACCGTCGCGTCGAGGTCGTCGATGGAGTTGCCGAGCGTCAGGCGGGTCCGCGACCACGCGACCTCCGGGAAGACGGCGGCGCCCGCGTGGTCGCGGTCCGGCTCGCCCGTCGTGTTCCGGATGCACTGCTCCGGCAGCTCGTCCTGGCTCAGGTTGATGAGGAAGAGCGTGAAGTTCGCCGACGCCGGCTTCGTGAGGGCGACGCCGCGCTCCGCGGGGAGCGCCGTCACCTGGGGGTACACCGTCGGAAAGGACGACGGCTGCGGCGACGGGAGCAGGGTCGGCGACGGCGACGGCTCCGCGGTCGTGGGATACGGCGTCGGCCGCGGCGTGGGTATCGCGCTGGGGAGCGGCGTCGGCACGGGCGACGGCAGCGACGACGGCCCGCCGGACGGCGACGACGACGGCAGCGCGGACGGCGCACCCGACGGCGCAGGCGACGGCGCGGCCGAGGGCGTGGCCGACGGCGCGGCCGAGGGCTCGGAGGACGGCCCAGGGCTCGGCGCCGACGTCGGCGCGGGCGTCGGCACGGCTGCGGGCACGGCGCTTGGCGCGGGCGAGGGCGGCAGCGAGGGCTCGGACGTCGTCGGGGACAGCGTGGGCCACGGGCTGGGCCCCGTGGACGGCCGGGCGGTCGGGCTGGCGGAGGGGGCGGCCGTCGGCGCGCCCGACGGCGCCGCGGTCGGCGCGGACGACGGACACGCGGTCGGGTCGGGGAAGCACTCCGTCGCGCCGGCGTGGGACATCCAATTCGCGTCGCAGGCTTCGCAGAGGTCGCCGGCCGCCGCCGCGAAGGTGTTCGGAAGGCACGCTTCGCAGGACGACGCGCCCGCGGCCGACGACGAGCCCGCGTCGCAGTCGAAGCACGACGAAAGGCCGGCGACGGGGGCCCACGTGCCCGCGCCGCAGGCGTCGCAGGCCGTCGCGCCTTCGTCGTTCGCGTGGGAGCCCGCGGCGCACGGCGCGCACTCGGTGTCGGAATCCTCGGTGTCGGAGAAGCGGCCCGACGGGCAGGGCGCGCAGGCGTCCGCGTCCTCGTCGACGTATTCGCCCGCGGGACAGGTGCACGCGACCGCGCCGCCGTAGGACGACGCGCCGTCGGGGCACCTCGCGCAATCGTCGGCGCCCGCGAGCGGCGCGTACGTATGAGGCGGGCAGTCGTAGCACGTCGTCCCGCCCGCATTGTTAAACCGACCGGGGTCGCAGACGGCGCAGATCGACGCCCCCGCTTCGTCCGCGTAGCTCCCGGCGGGGCAGTCGGAGCAGGACGGGCTCCCCGCGAACGCGTAGCGGCCCGCGGCGCACGACTCGCATTGGGACGCGCCCGCGAGCGAGTACGAGCCCGGCGCGCAGTACTCGCACGTCGCGGCGCCGACCGCGCTGTAGGTGCCGGCCTCGCAGGGGTCGCAGGTCGCGCTCCCGGCGGCCGCCGCGGCGGTGCCCGCGGCGCAATCAACGCAAGAGCCCCCGGCCGCGGAGATGGCGCCGGCCGCGCAGTCGGCGCAGGTCGCCGACCCGGCGGTGCTGTACTTCCCCGCGGCGCAGGCCGCGCAGCCGCCGCAGAGGTCGCAGGACGAGTCGCAGCTCTCGTCGCCGTCGCACTCGTAGTTGTCCTCCATGCAGGACTGGTCGCACGATAGCCAGGTAAAGTCGCAGCTCGAGTCGTCGCAGGAGTCGCAGCTCGAGCCCGCGTAGGAGCCGCTGGATGAGTAGTGGTTCGCCGGGCACGCGGACGCGCCGGAGTCGCACACGGTGAGCCGCCGGCGCCGCCGGCCGAGGCCGTAGGCGCGCGCGCGCGCGGCGCCGCGGTCCGCGCAGGGCGCCGCGAGCCCGAGCGTGAGGTGCGTCGACGGCGCGTCGTCCGTCGCGCGCGCGCTGTGGATGCTCCGCCGGGGCACGTAGAGCGCGTCGCCCGGCGAAAGCGTCGTCGCCTCGCAGTCCGCGACGGCCGCCATCTCGGAGGCGCCGTAGGCCGCGCAGCGGTCGAGCTCGCCGTGGGTGAAGGCGGCCTGGGCGCGGCCGCAGACGCGCCAGGTCTTGGACCCGCGGAGCTGGACGACGAGCACGTCCGTGACGTCCGTGTGGTTCGCGAGCGCGGCCGCGCCGGGCGACGACACGTAGACGTGGGCCGTGTCGCCGCGGTCCGGGTCGTAGACGCGCCGCGGGAGGAGCCGCGCCAGCGCCTCGGCGGCGCCCGGCGCGCTTGCCAGCCTCTCGAGGCGCAGCACCGCCGACGCGCCGGCGACGCCGCCGCCGGCGACGAGGCGCGCGACGGCCGCCGCGGCGTCGCCGCCGCGGTACGCTGCGCCGCCGGCGACGCCGCCGCCGGCGACGAGGCGCGCGACGGCCGCCGCGGCGTCGCCGCCGCGGTACGCGGCGCCGCCGTCGCCGCGGAGCGACGCGAAGGGCTCGCGCCGGTGCGCCGGGTCGCGGAACGGCCGGAGCAGCGCACGCAGCAGCCCGCCGACGTCCGCCGCCGCGGCGCCGTCGCCGCCCCGCAGCAGGAAGCGCTCGCCGCGCGCCACGCTCTCCTCGAGCCAGGTCACGTTGAGCGTCGCGAGCGTCCGCGCCGCGCGGTCCGCGTCGCGGCTCCCCAGGGAAGCCGCGAGCAGGGCCAGGAGCCGCAGCCGAGCCATGCCCATGAATGGGCTTCTGAGCGCTTCACCTTCAAGATGTTGAAAAGCGTGGTGACCTTGGCGATTTGCTCCGCGTCTGGACACGATGAACGCCGATGACCAGCAGCTCGAGGCCGTGCTCGTGGCCCTGACGGCCCCGGACACGAGCCGCATCAAGCAGGCCGAGGACGCGCTGAAGCCCGTGCTCAAGAAGAGCGCCTGCGTGGGCGCGCTCATGACGCAGGTGGCGTCGTCGGGCAACGTCGCCGTGCGCCAGATCGCGGCCGTCATCCTCCGCAAGAAGATCGTCAAGCTCTGGAAGAAGCTCAAGAAGAGCGCCCAGACCCGCGTCAAGGCCGCGATCCTCGAGCGCCTCGGGAGCGAGCCGGAACGCGCCGTCCGCAAGTCCGTCGCGGCGCTCGCGTCCGCGCTGGCCAAGGTTTTGGTGCCCCACAACAAGTGGCCCGAGCTCCTCGCCTTCATCTCCCAGTGCGCGACGGCGGCGACGAGCCCCCAGCACCGCGAGCTCGCGTATTTGCTCCTCCTCCAGCTGTCCGAGACCGTCGCGACGTCGCTGAGTTCGCAGCTCGGCCAGCTCGCCCAGCTCTTCCGCGCGGCGCTCGGCGACGAGGAGCGCGCCGTGTCCGTCATGGCCCTGCGCGCCTGCTGCGCCTTCGTGTCGACGCTGTCCACGGACGACGACGCGATGCTCTTTCGGGATTTGGTGCCGCCGATGGTCGTCGTCGCGCGGTCCGCGGCGCAGCAGCGCGACGACGCCGTGCTCGTCCAGTTCTTCGACGCCTTTGCCGAATTGGCGCAGACGCCCGTGCCCGTGCTGGCGCCCCACGTGGGCGACGTCGTGCCGCTGCTCCTCGACGTCATGCGCGCGGGCGACGACGACCTCGAGCGCGCGACGCGCGACGGCGCCGCGTCCGTCATCGGCGCGCTCGCGGAGTGGAAGCCCAAGCTCCTGGGCAAGGTCGGCCTCGTGCCGACGATCGTCCAGACCTGCGTGGGCATCATGGTCACCGCGGACGCGTCCGCGCGCGAGGGCGGCGGCGCGGGCGCGCTCTTCGTGTCGACGCCGCTCCAGCGCCTGCGCCAGGAGGAGGCGGCGCTGGCCAAGGCGGCGAAGATCGCCGCGGGCCAGGTCGTGCTCGGCGGCGACGACGACGACGACGAGGCCTACGAGGGGCCGTCGTCCCAGGAGGTCGCGCAGACGACCTTGGACCAGATCGCGCTCCACGTGCCTTTGAAGTGGTCGCTCGAGCCGACGCTGGGCCTGGCCATGCAGTGCCTCGAGGACGCGAACCCGTCGACGCGGCGCGCGGGCGCCGCGGCCGTGGGCGTCGTCGCCGAGGGCTTCCAGGACGCGCTGCGGGAGCACCACCTCGGCGAGGTGCTCCAGCGGCTCGCGAACGCCGCGGCGGCGAACTCGGAGCCGGCGACGCGCGAGTGCCTCTGCTTCGCCTACGGCCAGCTCGCGGAGCACTGCCAGCCGGAGATCGTGGGCCACGCGGCGGCCGTCGTGCCCGTCGTCTTCGAGTTCCTCAACGACGCGCGCGCCGCGGTCGTCGGCACGTCGTGCTACGTGCTCGAGATGTTCTGCGAGTCGATGGACGCGTCGCAGCTGGGCCAGCTCCTCGAGCCGCTCATGGCGCGGCTGCTGCCGCTGCTGGGGCACCAACTATTGGGCATCCGCGAGATGGCCGCGGCGGCCGTGGGGTCCGCGGCCATCGCCGCGGCCGACGGCTTCGGGCCCTACCTCGACGTCGCCGCGCCGCCGCTCGCGGCCATGTGCGAGCTCGGCGAGGAGCGGGCCTGGGAGCTGCGCGGGCGCTCCCTGGAGGCGCTGGGCCACGTCGCCCTGGCCGTGGGCGCCGCGCGCTTCGCGCCCTACCGCGACCGCGCGCTCGCCGCGGCCGCGCAGAATTTGGAGCTCGATTCGACGGAGCTCGCGGAGTATTCGTACGGCTTCTTCGCGAACGCGGCCAAGGTCATGCGCGGCGACTTCGGCCCGCTCCTGCCCCAGCTGGTCCCCCACCTGCTCGACGTCGTCGCGCGCAAGGACGGCGCGTCGCTGGACTTCGCGGACGACGACGAGGACGACGAGGGCGGCGGGGGCTTCGACGCCGCGTTCCTCGAGGACGGCGACGACGACGACGAGGAGCCGCGGGAGCCCGGCGACGCCGACGAGTGGGAGGACGACGTCGAGGACGAGGAGAGCGACGACGACCTGGCGGGCCACGCGGTCATGACCGTGCGCACGGCGATGATGAACGTGAAGCGCGCGGCGATCGTCGCGCTCGGCAACGTCGCCGAGTACACGGAGGGCCACTTCGCGCCCCACCTCGACAAGTCGCTGGACGTGTTGCGGGTCATGGTCGACTACTTCCACCACGAGATCCGCGAGCGGAGCGCCATCGCGCTGCAGCAGTTGGCCCACGCGGCGTGCGTCGCGCACGGCGGGAGCGCGCGCGCGCTGCCCTACGCGCCGCGGACCGCGAACGACGACAAGGAGCCCGTGGCCATCGCCTGGGCCAAGGGCGACGGCGCGGCGTCCCTGCCGTCGCCCCAGCTCGCGACCTACGTCAACGCGTGCGTCGGCCTGCTCGCGCGCCTCCTCGCGGAGGACACGGCCAAGTCCGTCGTCGCGGTGTCCTGCGAGGCGCTCAACGAGCTCCTGGGCGACGTCGGGCCGGCGGCCCTGATCCCGGCGCTCCAGCCCATCGTCGAGGCGACGCTCCAGTTGGCGAACAAGCAGGCGCCCTGCCAGACGCTGCTGGGCGCGGACGACGACGTCATCGACGCGGTCGCGCGCGGCACGCACGAGGAGGGCGACGACGACGACGAGGACCACGACAACGTGCTCATGGACAACGTCGCGGATCTCTGCGGCGCCGTGGCCAAGGTCGGGGGCGGCCTCGTGGGCCACGGGACCGCGGACGCGGTGTTCCAGGCGTTCGCCAAGTACGCGCAGCCCGCGCGGGCCGCGTCGGACCGCGCGATGGCGCTGGGCTGCTTCGCGGAGCTCTGCGTCGAGCTGCCGCCGGACCTGGCGGCGGGCCGCCACTTCGCCCAGCTCTGGGGGCTCTTCTCGTCCGCGTGCGGCGACGCGCACTCGAACGTCGCGCGGAATGCGGCGTTCGGCGTCGGCGCGCTCTTCTCCGCCGCGGGGCCGGCCTTCGCGCGGCAGCACATCCCGGACGCGCTCCACGCCTTGTATCCCCTCGTGACCAAGGCCGACGGCGCGCCGCCGGAGCGCGCGGCCGCGGACCGCGCGGCCGCGGACAACGCCTTAGCGGCGATGTGCCGCATCGCGCAGGCGGATCTCGAGGCCGCGCCCGTGGACCAGGTGCTGGCCCTCGTGCTGCCGAAGCTGCCCCTCGCCGAGGACGCGGGCGAGAACGCGACGGTCATGCGGCTGCTGCTGGCCTTGGCGGCGGCGAACCACGCGGCGCTCGCGGCCTCGGCGCCGCGGGTCAAGGCCGCGCTCCAGGCGACGCTCGCCCAGGACAAGATCGACGACGCCGACATCGTCGCCCAGTGCACGGAGCTGCTGGCCAAGCTGGGCTAGCGGGGGTCGCGCGCGTAAATAAGCTATGAGAGAAGCCCGAGAATAGTCGGCGTCGGACTCGGACTCGGACGCGACGGGATCGGGGGCGCCCCACTTGCTGTGGCGGAACGCCGTCGGCAAAGGCCGCGGCGAGGCGGGCGGCGCGGCTCGACCGCATTGCCCGATCGCCCGCCTAGGACCTCCTGAGCAGTTCCGCCACCGCGAGCCCCGCCACGAGCGCCGACGTCGCCGCGCCCCACGCGGTCCGCGCGGGCTCGCCCTGGGCCGCGTGCGCCGCGCACGCGAGCGCGACGGCGTCGTCGCGCTGGCCCGCGAGCGCCGCGCGGCAGAGGCCGAGCGTCGCGGCCGCCGCGCGCGCGCGCGAGTCGAAGCAGACGCGCGCGACGACGGCCGCGACCTTGAGCGCCAGCGCGGCCGCGAGCGCGCGCCGCCGCTTCGACGGCGACGCGTAGGCCGCGGAGACCGCGAGCGCGAGGCCGGGAAACACGGGCCCGCAGTCGACGGCGTTGAGCCAGGGCGCGGAGACCGGCGCCGGCGCGAAGGCGCAGGGCGCCGCGAAGAGGCCGGCGGACGCGCCGCGGTACGCGTTCGAGCGGAGCCAGAACGACGAAACGACGAACGTGGACGCGAAGGACGCGTGGAGGAGGACCGCGGGGACGCGCGCGCGGCGCGCCACCAGGACCGCGAGCACGAGCACGACGACGGCGACCGCCACCGCTACGACGCCGAGCCGCGACGGCGCGGGCTCCTCGCAGGCGACGCCGCTCACGCGCGTCGCGCGCGCGCAGACGCTCTCCGTCGCGTCCGAGTCGACGTCTTCCACCGCCAACCCGTCGACGGGGATCGCCGCCGAGCCGACGACGTCGACGACGCGCTCGCAGTTGACGCACGTCGCCCGTTTCACCGAGAAGTTCGCGAGGACCGTCTCGGCGGCGTCCGCGGCGCGCTCGAAGGGGTCCTCGCCCGGGTAGGTCGTCGAGATCCACAGGAGCGCGTCCGAATTGACCGCCGTCGCGCCGTCGACGACGACGTTCGTCACGAAGCCGCCGCGGCCCGGCCGCGTCTTCACGTGCACGCCCGCCGGCCCGCCGCGGGCCCGCGCCGCGGGCGTCGCCGCCCAGCCGCCCGTCAAGAGCCGCAGCCAGAAGCCGGCGCCGGAGACGTCGTCGGCCGCGGCGCCGCCGACGGCCGCGTCGCCGAAGGTGCAGTTCTCGATCCGCACGTCGTCGACGCCGCCGCTCACCTCGGACCCGATGGACAGCCACTCGCTCCGGAGCCGCGAGTCGCGGACGACGACGCGCCGCGACGGCGCCGCGTGCGCGCGGCCCGCGGCGCCGAGGCCGCTCTTGATCGCGATGGCGTCGTCGCCGACGCGGACGTCGACCCCGTCCACGAGCACGTCCTCGGACGAGTCGATGTCGATGCCGTCCGTGTTCGCCCCCCAGGCGCGACGAAGCGTCTCGTGGCGAGGGGCGAGAATTCTGACGTCCTCGACCACGACTTCTTTCGAGTCGACGATATGGAGGGTCCAGAAGGGCGAATCGACCAACAACACGCCCCGGACCGCGCCGCGCCTGACGTTCGAGAACTCCACGAGCCGCGGCCGGCCCAGGGCGTAGCCGAGGTTCGCGTAGCGCCGCTCCGGGCTCGCATCCGACGAACAGCGCCAGCCGCGGGACACGTCGCCGTTGACCTTCGACAGCGCCGCCAACGCCCACGGGTGCGCGCCGACGCGCTGCGCCGCGGCGTAGGCGAAGCCGCACAGAAACCTCCGCCACCAGTCCGCGCCGCGGCCGTCGATGACGGACGTCGGCCCCTCGCCCGAGATCGCGACGTCCGTCGCGTCGAAGGCGCCCACGAAGGGCGCGTGCTGCGACCGCCGCCGCGTCACCGCGGGCGGCCAGGGCACGCAGCACTGGTCCCGCGTCTCGCCGTAGCCCGGCGCCGCCGTCACTTCGGGCCAGTGGTAGCGCCAGGTCTTCCAGTCGAAACCGATTCCGCGCAGCGTCGCGTTCGCGGCGAGGTGCAGTCGCGAGCCGCCCGACAGGTTGAACGCGCCGGAAACGAAGACGCCGGCGGGCACGCGGACGGTGCAGCGCGGACCGCCGGTGCTCGCGGCGGGCGGGCTCGCGGCGCAGCAGCGCGCGGCCTCGCGCAGCGCGAAGGTGCTGTCCGTGGCGCCGTCGCCGACGGCGCCAAAGTCGGTGATGTCGCAGACGCGGGTGGCGGCAGCGCTCAGCAGCGCGAGCAGCAAGAGGCTGGTACCCATTTGTGAGATGCTGCGGCCACGCCAACGCTATGAAGCGATGCTGCGGCTACGCCAACGCTATGAAGCGGGCCGCAGCGCGCTCGATGAGGCCCGCGGCTACGCCAACGCTATGAAGCACGCCGCGACGCTCTCGATGAGGCTCGGCGTAAGCCAGACCTCTTTGCTTCATGGACGGTGCAATGCGCCTTCAAGTTGGTTTCGAGCAATTATGGCTGCCATCCTCGGCAAGGACGATGAGGAGCTCGTCGTGGCCGAGGAGTTTTCGCAGCTGAGCGTGGGTGATGGCTACGGCGGCATTCTCCCCGGAGCGGTATGTTACAAAGCGGAGTTCAGCCCACCCTGGTCCGAGACGGCGCGCGCAAGAAACTACAACTCCATGTGCGCCGAGCTGCCCGAAACCACGAAGAAATACCGCGTCTCCGCGAAGCACGGCGCGACGATGCGCAACGGCGTGTCCCTCAAGACGGAGCTCGCGCTGCAGGGCGCGCTCGGCCCCATCAAGCAGGGCGAGATCGTCCACGGCGACGACGAGGTCTGGAACGACCAGGGCGACCTCCGCGTCCACGTCATCGTGCCGAACACGTCGCTGGGCTGCGGCTACGTGACGGGCTGGGTGTCGTTTAAGACGCTCACGCCCTTGAACGACGACGGGACGCCCCTCCCGCGGCCGACGTTCTGGACGCACGAGCTCACCGTGCGACTCCAGGAGAACTTCGAGTGGGGCTACCGCCAGGCGTCGGTGCAGACGTTGATCCGAAAGATCAAGCAGGACGTCGACGACATGCGGGCCGAGAGCAAGAAGGCGGCCGAGGGCGGCGGCAAGGGCAAGAAGGTGCCGACGTTCCGCGAGTACGTCGACGCGCTCTGGATGAAGGTGCGGGGCCCCGCGCTGGCGAAGTGCGGCATGCCGGCGACGATGAAGGGCCTCAACGAGCAGCAGGCCATGGACCACTTCGCGTACGGCGAGGACGAGCGGACCTGGGGCATCATGGACGCGCACAACCGCATCGTCCAGCTCATGGCCGCCCAGGACCCGTCGAAGATCGTCCCCGCGAAGGACATGGTCGGCAAGCGCACGATGCTCACGGCCAAGGTCAACGAGCAGGGCGACATGGTCGTCGAGGGCGGCGAGTAAAGTTTCGGTAAAGAAGCCGTCCGGCGGTGCACGCGCAGCCCCCATCCGACGTCCATCGACTCCGCACGATGGTCAACCTGAAGGCGCTCGTCGCCGGCGCCGCCGGCCTCGTCGGGAACCTCCTGCCGCCGCGGGGCGAGGCGGGCCGGCTGCGGCGCGCGCTCAAGGCCAAGGACCTCAACGAGACCTACAGGGCCGAGCTCTCCGCCGAGCTCGCCGTCGTCCTCTTCGCCTGCGCGCCGGGCGAGAACGTGACCGCGAAGGCCTTCGCCGAGGGGCGGAAGCACGCGGAGCTCGCCATGGCCGGCGACCCCGAGTCCTGGGCCGCGTTTCGCGCCGAGCGCGCGCTGCACCTCGCGCTCGGCGACGCGGAGGAGAGCCTGCTCCCGTCGAGCCGGGTCCTCGACCGCGACGCGGACCGCGTGCGCGGCCTCACGGAGCACGCCCGCGCCATGCTCGTCGCCGCCTGCTCCAACGCCTGCGCGGCGCGCTACCTCGAGATGAAGCCCGAGGAGCAGTCGCGCGGCATGGAGACCGCGTCCGCGCGCCGCGCGGCCGCGCTGTGGCGCGTCATGGAGACGGGGCGCCTGCTGCGCAACGCGTCGGACGCGGACCCGGACGACGCCGACGCCGCGGCGGCGGCCGACGCCACGGCCCACTACGTCGAGCTCGACGCGTTCAAGGGGTCGACGACGAACGAGCTCATCGACCTCGCCAAGTGCCGGCCCTACGTCGGCACGACCATGGACGGCCGAGTCTGCCCCGCCGGGCGCAAGAAGAAGAAGAAGAAGGAGATCAAGCCCGTCGTCAACTACAACGACAAGAAGATCGGCCCGGGCGTCGTGAAGCGGGACTAAGGTATCCGGCCCTTCCGCTCGAGGCGCCTCGCGCGCCTCGCGCGCCGCCGCTCGTTGGCCTCGGCGCGCGCGGCCTCCAGCCCCCGGTCGCGCGCGGCGTCGAGGAACTGGCGCGTGCCGCCGCCGAAGATGTGGAACCGCTCCTCCGCCTCGAGGCCCGCGATCTCCGGCGCGTGGCGCCACGTCAGGTTCAGGCGGAACTCGCCGCCGCGCGCCGTCTCCACGCGCCCCAACGCCGCCGCCGCGAGCGCGGGCGGGCACGTGCCCGGAGTGATGTTGGTCACGGCGTGCATGACGCTCCTCGCGGGCCCGCCGAAGAGGATCGCGTCGCCCGAGTCGAGGCGCGCGACGACCGGCGCGTCCGAAGGGTTCGCCTTGAGGCTGAAGTCGCAGCTGCAGCCCAGGGACAGGCTCACGACGGGCGCGAGCGACGCGCCGTCCCATTTGCCGTCGTCGCGGTGCCAGCCGAGGCCACGCTCGAGGCGGGCGTACCACAGGAGCAGCACGTGCGTCGCCGCGGCGCCGCCGAGCGGGTCCGCGCGACCGTCCACGGCCCGCGCGGCGCGGCGCAGCGCCTCGCAGAGCGGGCCCGCGCGCGCGTCGACGCGGCCGACGGCGTCGTACGATCGCCCGCGGCCCTGGCGCGGCGCGTTCAGCCCGTCGCCGTCGAGCCAGCGCTTCCCGTCGACGCCGTAGGCGAGGCACCAGCGCAGCACGTCGAGCTGCGCGTCGGCGTCCAGGACGCCCTTGAGCAGCACGACGCCGGGCATGAGTACGCGTGCGTCGCAGTGGGGCGAGAGCGCGGGCTCGTCTGGATTTGTGCGTGGCGCTGCGCTCTGTTCTGCGGCGGAATGACTAGTATCGCTTGGCGCTGCGTTTTTTCGGCGCTTGCGCCGCACGAGGAAGAGCGCGACGAGCGATGCCAACACGCAGAGCGCTGGCAGCAGTGCTGCGCTGAGCTCGAGGGCGGCCATAAGCAGCTCGCCACTGAGCGCCGGCAGCATTGCTACACCGGGCTCGAAGCGGCCATAGCAGCTCGCTACACTGGAGGTCGGCCGTGCACCAGACGATGCAGCACCATCGCATCACGTAAAAAGCTGGGCTGCCCGGACGGTCTGGCGGCGCCCCGCGCTGCCGGGGCCGCCCGACCATGTTCTCCTTCGAGGCCGACCGGGACGACGAGTCCACGGAGAGCGGCAAGGAGCCGCCGCTGCTCGTCTGGGAGAACGCCTCGCTGACGCAGGAGGCCTACCCGACGCTCGTCAACTCGAGCGGTTTCGTGGAGAAGGGCGAGATCATGGCCGTGCTCGGCTCCCGCAGCGACACGGGCGCCTTCGTCGACCTGCTGAGCGGGCGGCCCGTCGCCGGCGAGGTCGCGGGCTACTTCGCGCTGGACGGGCGCACCGCGCGGCGCGAGAAGCTGCGCGACTCGTCGGCGACGGTGCCGTTCGGGATGGAGCTGCCCGCGCACCTCACGGTGCTCGAGGCGTCCTTCTTTCTCCTGCGATTGCGGGCCCCGGCGGACGTGGACAACTTCGAGGTCTCGGAGCGCTGCAAGTGGGCCCTCGAGGAGATGGAGCTCGAGGAGTGCGGCCCGCTCTTCGTCGGCGGCCGCGTCGACGACGGCAACCTGCACGTGCGCGGGCTCACGGCGGACCAGCGGCGGCGCCTGGCCATCGCGACGGCCATCTCGACGAAGCCGCGGCTGTTGTACCTGGAATACCCGACGTCGGGCCTCGACTGCAAGTCCGCGCTCGTGTTGATGAACCTCGTCAGCGAGGTCGCTCTGACGGCGCTCCAGGGCATGGCCGTCGTCGCGTCGCTCCACAAGCCGCGGCGCGGCGTCTGGCACCTCTTCGAGAGCTGCTACTTTTTGAGCGCGGGCCACGCCATGTACTTCGGGCACGTCGACGGCGCGGTGGCCTGGTTCCAGTCCATCGGCTACCTCGGCGGCGACGGCGCGGACGACGGCAACCCCTGCGACCTCATCCTGGACCTGATCACCATCGACTGCGACAAGGACCCGCGGAGCTACGGCACGTCGACCATGGTCTACCTCACGGACGTGGCCAACGCGAGCCGCGCGTTCCACAAGACGTGCGCGCCGACCGTCGCCGCCTTGGCGGCGAAGGCGCGGAGCGCGGGGCCGCCCAAGGACGACATTTTGCCGCCGCCGAACCGCGCGTCGCTCCGCGTCACCTTCTCCGCCGTCGCGTCGCGCATCCTGCGGTTCCACGTGCGCCACCCGGGCGCGCTCACCGCGCGCGCGACGCACGCGTGCATCGCGGTCTGCATCGGCGCGTTCCTCTTCGGCCACGACACGCCCGACGATTTGCTGCCCTGGGACACGGTGTCCTACGCCGACCACGCGTCCACCAAGCTGTCCTACGAGCGCGTCACGTCCTACACGCACGCCTGCGTCGTCTGGGTCATCACGATCCTCATGGCGGAGCTCAGCGCCGTCACCGTCACGTTCCACGACCGGCTCCGCGCGTCGCGCGACATGGCCGACGGCTTGTACGGGCCCCGGGTCTACTTCGTCGCCGCGGCCGCCGTCGAGATCCTGTCGGGCTTCGGGCTCTACTACCCCATGTCGCTCCTCTTCGCCTGGGCGACGGGCCTCGAGCGCGTCTTCCACTTTGCGCGCGTCATGGCGACGATGGGCTGCTTCTTCAAGGTCGGCCTGCTGAGCGCCTGCTGCGTCGCGGCGCGCCTCGACCTCGCCGCCAACGCCGTCACGACGGCGGCGGTGGTCAGCGTCTGCTGCAGCAACGCGGTCATCCGGCGCCGCGACCTGCCGCGCGCGTTCAAGTGGATGCCCTACTTTAGCCTCCTGCGCCCGGCCCTGGCCATGCTCGTGCGCGAGGAGCTCGGCAGCGACGTCGTCGCCTACCTGGGCCTCGGGGACCTGGGCCTGCGGCGCGGCGAGCGCACGAACGACTTCACGGACTCGGTCACGCTCCAGTTCTTCTGCTTCGCGGCGCTCGCGCCGGGCTACTACTGGCTCGCGCGGACGACGCCCCGGGGCCCGCACCGGCGGGGCTACGTCAAGGCCGGGCCGGGCCTCGCCGACGACGACGGCGGCGACGACGGCCGGGGCGCGCCGGACGACGACGAGGCGCCGCTCCCGACCGGCGGCCTCGGCGGCGAGACCGTGTCGCCGCGCGAGGTCCAGATCGAGCGCATCCTCGCGGCCTACGAGGCGGCGCTCCTGCGCCACGACGTCGGCTACGGCGAGATCGAGGCGCTGCGCCTGCGCACGGGCGTCGTCCAGGACGAGAGCGAGGGCGTCGTGTCGCCCGCGCACACGACGCCGTTCGCGTCGCTGCCCAAGGTCGCCGCGCGCAAGAGCTCGACGCCCTACGACCCGCAGAAGACGACGCACCGGCGCAAGATCTCGCGGCTCATGAACCAGGCGGCGTCGAAGAGCGTCGACGACCACGTCCAGGCGCTCGCGGACTTTGCGCGGACGTACGCGCGGAGCGACCACCTGCCGGTGGAGGTGCGCTACCGCGAGGTCAACTACTACGCCATGGTCGACACGACGCGGCCCAAGGTCGAGAACGTCGTCAACGTGACGCCCCTGGGCGTGCTCCTGTCGCGCATGATGCACGAGGGCGAGACGTCGAAGCACGTCGACATCCTCAAGGGCGTGAGCGGCGCGATCAGGCCGGGCACGCTGACCCTGGTGCTGGGCAAGCCCGGCGCGGGGAAGACGTCCTTCCTCAAGATGCTCTGCGGCATGCTCAAGTCGAGCGCGGCGCGCGACCTCACGTTCGAGGGCGACTGCTTCTACAACGGCGAGCCGCTCAGCGACCCCAAGGGGCGCTTCGTCCCCTCCAAGGTCGCGGCCTACATCGACCAGATCGACCTGCACAGCGCGTCCCTCACGGTCGAGGACACGCTCGAGTTCGCCTACGAGACCCTCGGCGCGGGCGAGGCGAGCGGCGGCGCGCGCGAGGACCTCGCCGCGAGCCTGCGGGGCGTCGACGCGACGGAGGTCAAGGACTTCATCAAGTACCAGAAGGAGGGCAAGATGAAGCTCCACACGGTGCTGGGCATCCTCGGGCTCGCGCACGTCAAGGGCACGATCGTCGGCAACGCGACGACGCGCGGCATCAGCGGCGGCCAGCGGCGCCGCGTGTCCGTCGGCGAGATTCTGATGGGCAAGGCGCGGGTTTTGTGTGGGGACTCGATAACGACCGGTCTGGACAGCCAGACGGCGCACGAGATCGTCAAGGCCTTCAAGTGCTTCGCGCGGGACCTCAAGACGACGTGCGTGCTGTCGCTGCTCCAGCCGCCGCCCGAGGTCTTCCTCCAGTTCGACAGCGTGTGTCTCCTGGACGCGGGCCGCGTCATCTACCACGGCCCGACGCAGGGCATCTTGGACCACTTCGCGTCCATCGGCTTCCGGCCGCCCGCGCGCAAGGACGCGGCGGACTTCCTCATCGAGGTGAGCTCGCCCGCGGGCTACGCGTTCTACGAGGGCTACGCGACGCCGCCGGCGTCGGCCGACGCCTTCGCGGCGCTCTTCCGCCAGACGGAGTGGCACGCCCAGACCGTCGACGCCCTCGACTCGCCGAACGCGTACGCGCTCGGCGACGACCAGTGGCCCGCGTACTTCCGCATCGAGTTCACGAAGCCGCTGGGCTGGTACGCCTACTGGATTTTACGAAGGCGCGCCTTCGAGATCGCCAAGGACACGACCTTCGTCAAGGTCAAGTGCTTCCAGGCGCTGGCCATGGGGCTCGCGACGGGCCTGCTGTTCCGCGATCTCGGCTACGAGGACTTCACGAGCAAGATGGGCCTGCTCTTCGCCGTGCTGATGTACCTGGGCGTCACGGGCCTCGCCTACATGCCCGAGCTGCTGGAGCGGCGCGACGTCTTCTACAAGATGCGCGACCAGTCCTTCTTTCCTACTTTAGCTTTCACGCTCGCGAACGTCGCCGTCGACCTGCCCATCGCGGTCATCGAGTCGGCGATCTTCACGAACGTCGCCTACTGGTTCACGGGCCTGGGCTCCCAGGGCTACCCCCTCTTCTTCGCCATCTGCCTCACGCTGTCCGTGTCCATGGCGTCGATCTTCGCGCTGATCGCGTCCGTCGCGCCGAACGAGGACGTCGCGAACCCCATGGCCGGCGCGTTGATCGTCTGCTTCGTGCTCTTCTCCGGGTTCATCGTCCAGCGGCCCAACATCCCCTGGTTCTGGAAGTGGCTCTACTGGATGTCGCCCATCGCCCACGGCATCCGCGCGGCCGCGATCAACGAGTTCGGAAGCGAACGCTACGCGAGCTGCAAGTTCCAGACGGCCGTGGCGCCCTTCTGGTACTTCGACTGGGAGGCCTTCCGGTGGCGGCTCTACGCCGACGGCTGCGCCTTCGCCGACAGCGACGGCCACCTGTTCCTGAAGATGTACGAGTTCCAGACGGACCGGGCGTGGATCGGCGGCGCGTTCGTCGTCTTCGGCGCGTACTTCGCCGCGGGCATGGTCTTCCAGACCGTCGCGCTGTCCGTCGTGCGCGTGGGCGCGGGACCGACGTCCGGCGACGGCGAGGAGCCCGAGCCCCTGGAGCGCCACCCGTCGCGCGTGCACAGCCTCAAGCCCGCGGAGGCGACGCCCGTCGACGACGTCGCGGATCCGTTCCTGCTCCCGCCGGAGAAGGCGCCGCCGGCGCCGCTCCGGGTCGAGAGCGACGACGACTGCTCGCCGCGCCACGACGCGGCGCCGCCGGGCACGCCGCGGCGGCGCTACAGCGAGAAGAAGCTCGCGAAGACCGCGAGCCGGCGGAGCGAGCGGAAGCAGTCCGCGTTTTCCGCGGCGAACGCGGGCGACATCGACGCGTCGGGCGACGTTCCCTACGAGCCCATGTCCGTGGCCTTCCGCGACCTGCACTACTTCGTCGACGTGCCGTCGAAGAAGGGCGGCGGCCAGCCGGAGCACCTGGAACTGCTCGCGGGCGTCACGGGCTTCGCGACGCCGGGGACGATGACGGCGCTCATGGGCTCCTCCGGCGCGGGCAAGACGACGCTCTCGACGTCGTGGCGGGCCGGAAGACGGGCGGGTCGCTCAGCGGCATGATCACGGTCAACGGCCACGCGAAGAAGCAGGACACGTTCGCGCGCGTCTCCGGCTACGTCGAGCAGCTCGACGTGCACTCGCCGGGCCCCACCGTGGCCGAGGCCGTGGCGTTCTCCGCCGCGCTGCGCCTGAACCCGAGCGCCGACGAGAAGCGCAAGCCCTTTTGCGCGAACATTCTGCGAATTCTGGAATTGGCGCCCATCGCGGACAACCAGGTCGGCACGCTCGGCAAGCCCGGCGGTTTGAGCTTCGAGCAGCGCAAGCGCCTGACCATCGCCGTCGAGCTCGCGGCGAACCCGGCCATCTTCTTCTTGGACGAGCCGACGTCGGGTCTGGACAGCCGCGCGGCGCTGGTGGTCATCCGCGCGGTGCGGCAGGTCGCGGTCACGGGCCGGAGCGTCATCTGCACGGTGCACCAGCCGTCCTACGCCCTATTCGCCCAGTTCGACCGCCTCCTCCTGCTCAAGAAGGGGGGCATGGTCGTCTACTTTGGCGGGCTCGGCGAGGACAGCGGCGATCTCGTCGCGTTCTTATCCCAGACCGCGGCGTCGCTCGGCCCGCGGGGGCCGGACCTCGACCCGCTGCGGCCGGGCGCGAACCCGGCGACGTGGATGCTCGGCGCCTGCACGGACGCCGTCGCCGAGGCCTACGCGGCGAGCGCTTTGCACGACGAGAACGTGCGGCTCTGCGAGACGTTGATGCGGCCCGCGGAGGGGTCGCTGCCCGTGTCCTTCCCGACGAAGTACGCCGTGAACATGAGCCGCCAGCGCGCGGTCCTCGTGCAGCGCATGATCATCAACTACTGGAGGGGCCCCGCGTACAACCTGAGCCGGGGCGCCGTGAGCTTCCTCATCTCGCTCCTCTTCGGCACGGTCTTCACGCAGGAGCGGCCCGACGCCATCAACACGTTCACGGGCGGCCTCGGCAGGATCGGTTTATTGTACATCAGCACGCTCTTCATGGGCATCATCTTCTTCGTGTCCGCGGTGCCCCAGATGATGGAGGAGCGGAAGGCGTACTACCGGGAGAAGCAGTCGAAGATGTACAGCACGCTGCCCTACACGGAGTCCTTCGGCGTCGCGGAGTTCCCCTACCTGCTCGGCTTCTCCCTGCTCCACACGGCGACGATGTGGGTCATGGTCGACTTCTACCCGGGCTGGGACAAATACGCGTGGTACTTCGCGATGTACTTCCTCTACGTGTCCGGCATGACCTTCCTGGCCCAGTTCCTCGTGGCGGCCATGCCGTCCCAGGAGGCGGCGACGAGCCTGGGCACGGCGTTCCTCTCCGTCTGCAGCATCGTCGCGGGCTTCGCGATCTCGCCGACGAAGATCCCGTGGTACTTCAAGCCGCTCTACCACGTCGCGACGATCCACTACGCGCTCGAGGGCATGGTCGTCACCCAGTTCCACGACAGCCACGTGCGCATCTCCGATTTGCCGGGCTGGCCCACGGACAAGCGCTACTACGCGTCCCACTGGACGGAGTCGAAGTTCGGCGGCGCGTTCTGCTACTCGCACCGGTGGTTCGACGTCGCCGCGCTCGTCGCCTTCATGATCGTCTTCCGCATCGGCACGCTCATCTGCCTCGCGCGCGTCGAGTACACGACGAGGTAACGCCTTTCTCTTAAAGAGCCTAGGGCGCGGACTCCGCGGACCGCGGCGGCGCCTCGGCCGCGCGCGCCGCGGCGGGCCGCTCCGACGCGAAGGCCGGCGGCGCGGAGCGGCTCGACGACTCGCGCGGCGCCTCGGCGTCGCCGGGGAGGCCGCAGAGGCAGCCGAACCAGCGCGCGCCGCCGTAGGCCGACGAGCTCGACCGGCTGCGGCGGAGGTCCTTGTCGGGCGCCGGCGGGCTCGCGAGCTCCTTCCGCGCGACGTCCTTCTGCGACGGCGACGTGAGGCGCCCGAAGGTGTCGATGGCGTCGAGCGTCGTCTCGTCGCTCTCGCCGCGGTTGGGGTCGTCGAGGCCGTCGGAGAGGGACAGGGACTTGTGGCTCGCGTGCGTGAACTCGAAGGCCATGAGCTCGTAGTTCCGCTGGTCGCTCCTCGGCGAGGGCGGCGCGTCGTCGTACCAGCGCCGCATGAGCGCGTCGCTCTCGAAGCGGTCGCAGAAGTCGGCCTCGTCGACGCAGTCGCAGGGCGGCTGGAACGGCGGCGGCACGAGCCGCTTCTTGAGCCGCGGCCACGATACGGCGTGGAAGTAGGGGTCGCTCTGGACGGAGTCGACGCCGTGGCGCGCCTTGACGTCCTTGGAGAGGAGGCGCCCCAGGAAGGTCCGCGCGGCGGCGTCGACGCGGGACTCGTCGTAGGCGGGCTGTTTGAATAGGATGTTCGCGAACATGTCGCGGGCCTTCGCGGCGTCGAAGGGCGTCCGCCCGTGGTAGAGCTCGTAGAGCAGCACGCCCAGCGCCCAGTAGTCGACGGCGGACGACACGTGGGCCGTCTTCTGGAGCACCTCCGGCGCCGAGTAGGGCACGGTGCCCTGGAAGCCCTTTTTGACGGCGACGCAGGCCTTGTCCTGGAGCTTCGCGGGCTTGAAGCCGCAGTCCCGCTTGCCCTCCGTGAGCGTCGCGAGCCCGAAGTCGCAGATGAACAGGTGGCCGTCGTGGCGCACGAGGCAGTTCGCGGGCTTGATGTCGTGGTGGATGATGCCCGCGAGGTGGAGGTGCACGAGGCCGAGCGTGAGCTCCGCGGCGACGAATTGGATCGCCGCTTTGGGGTCGTCGCAGTCCAGGAGCGCCGTCTGCTGGGCCTCGAGGCAGGACCCGTCGATGAACTGCATGACCATGTAGACCTTGGTGCGGCTCTGGAACGCGTAGCAGATCGACACCAAAAACGGGCTCCGCACGTGGCAGAGGCGCACGAGCACGTCCCGCTCGACCTTGGCCATCTTCGCGCTCGTGTCCGCCTTGGCCATGACCTTCATGGCGTAGAGCTTGCCCCGCGTGAAGCCCGTGCGCTTCTTCACCAAGAGCACGGTGCCGAACCTGGGCGGGAAAAGGGCGCGAACTTCCCAAGGCTCCGATCTCGGTCATGTTCCACTCGTTTCGCTCCTTCTTGGACGGGCGATGATCTCTCGGACTCTCGACGCGTGGATCCTTGCTCTGGAACAATCGCGCGCGGAACCCTCATCTTGAAGCGACGTCGAATCGCCCCTTTCCCGCGCCGCGCCGAACGCGCCCGCGCCGAGGACGAGCTTGGGCTTGAAGTGGCGCGCGACGACGGCCTTTTTGGTCACGGCCTCCTTGGCGGCGTTGGCGCTGTGGCGGATGCCGTTCTTCGCCTTTTTGAGCGCCTTCGCGGCGAGCGACTTGCGCTTCTTGGGCCGCGCGGACGGCGTGTCGACGAGGCGCCTGGGCAGCACAAGAGTGATTCGACGTCGCTTCAACGTGAGTGTTCCGCGCGCGCGCGTTCCGGAAAAAGCATCCACGCTTCGAGGCCGTTCCGAGAGATGATCGCTCGTCCAAAGATCAGCCAAAACGAGTGGAAAACGGCCGAGATATGAGGCTTTGAAGTTGGGAATTTCGCTCTCTTGTCCTGCCCTGCGAGGCGCGGGCTGTCCGCGGTGAAGTTCTCCGAGAGGTTCGACACCTGCTCGAGGAGCATGTCCGTGCGCTCGTCGCCGAGGAGCTCGTCGCCGTCGATGGCGAAGCGGAGCCTCCGCGGCGCGCCGTCGGCCGCGGCGTCGCCGCCGTCGCCGTCGTCGGCCGCGGCCGCGTCGTCCGACGACGCGGCGGCGGCCGAGTCGGCGGCCGAGGAGGCCTCATCGGCGGCGGCGTCGCCATCGGCCGCGGCGCCGTCGGCGCCGTCCGCGGCGGGGCCGCCGGCCGCGGCGCCGCCGTCGTCCGGCGCCGCGGCCGCGCTCTCGTCGACGAGCTGCGACCGCGATCGCTCCAGGCGCGCGGCGTCGAGCTTCGCCTTCGCGACGGCGAGCTTCGCCTCGGCCGCCTCCGTCGTCTTGGACCGCGGCGACTCCGGCGCCGCGAGGCTGTCCTTGGCCTGCAGCCGGAGGCTCACCTCCATGGGCAGCCCTTCGTCGTGATGGTCCGCGTCGGAAAAATCGGAGCCGTTGCCGTCGTCCTCCGTCAGCGCCGCGGCGATCGAGGGGAAGGACATGGCGACGACTCGCGTAGAACGTCTAGAGCCGTGGCGAGCGCCGCATATCGCAGAGCCAAACTTCCATGAATCGAGTGTGAACGGCACTGTGAACGGCACGGACGGCTCCGATAGGTTTGTCGATACGATTATCAAGAGCAGCCCGGAGCAGCCCGGAGCGAGACCCGAACTTACACTTCTATACGACCCCATTCGCGGCGCTGCGCAACCATGTCCGTCGTCCCCGCCTGGGCCACGCTCTGCCGCGCCGACCGCGACCACTCCCTCTTCGCCCACATGCCGCCCGAGAGCGACACGGTCTGCTGCTTCGGCGTGTCGCGCCAGCTGCTGCGCTTCTCCACGCTCGTCGTCGCCCTCGCGGACGTCGTCGGCGACGAGTGCAACAAGGAGGTCGACGTGCTGGAGCTCGTGCGCGCCGCGACCTGCGCGCCGCGCCGCGGCCCCGTCATCGCCGAGCCCCTGCCCAAGGCGAAGCCCGTCGCCGCCCCGCCGCCGAAGCCGCCGCGCATCTCCCGCGAGCACCACCCGGCCCTGAAGCACGCGGCCGTCGCCGCGCTCCAGTACGAGGACGACCAGTGGACCTTCCTCGAGGCCCGCGCGCCGCCGCAGTAGGGGCCCGAGGCCCCGCGGCGGCGCGCGCGGCGCGCGTTTTTGTGACCCGCCCCTCCCATCTTCCTAGAGGCTTTCTCCGATGGTGATTGTGTGGGCCGGCGCGGCGCGGGCCGCGCGTCGCCGCGCCGGACATACGAGGCCAGCGTGCGCCGGGTCTGGGGACCGGTCGAGATGGGAGGACCCGTCCGACGGCGTCCAGGGCTTCCAGGGTGCGACCCCCGGCGTCGCTTGAGGCTCGCGGCCTTGTGCTTGCCGCAGCAGCACGTCGCCGCGCCGCCCGCCTCCAGACCATGAGCGACAAGGAGGACTTCGACAGCTCGAGCGACAGCGGGTCGGACAGCGACAGCGACGACGAGGAGTACCAGCACGTGGACACCGGTGATTCGCTCAAGGTGAAGCAGGTCCTCGACGAGGCGACGGTCAAGGCCATGGTCGACAAGGGCTACGGCGAGGTCCACTTCATCGACAACCTGAAGATCTCGCTCATGGTCGCCGCCTGCCTCTTCGCCTGCGTGGGCCAGTTCTCCGACCCCGTGCTCGGCATCAAGTTCCCCGCGTGCCGCCCGCTTTTAGGCGTCTGCTGCGCGGGCTACTTCACCTTCTCGGGCATCCTCCAGCTCGTCGTCAAGTTCATGGAGCGCGACATCATCTTCGTCTCCGAGAAGAAGCCGGGGGACGCCGCGGGCATCCGCGTCCGGACCGCGTTCCCCCGGTTCCAGTCCGACTTCTCCGTCATCTTCCAGCGCGACGCGCCGGACGCGCCGGAGATGGAGGAGAAGTACTGCGTCGGCAAGTTCTTCGACACCGACGGCTACTTCTACGAGCAGGGGCTCATCGACGTCGTCCAGAAGCAGGCGGACAAGTTCGAGGCGAAGAAACGTGATTAGTAGGGGGTCGGTCGTAATCTCGGACGTCGTCGCTGCCATGTCGGGGATCGCTGAGCCGCTTGGGCTGCATGAGAGCGTCGGCCCAGCTTAGGTCGCTTAGGTCGCTCGCGAAGGCCCCCCGCGGCGTCGACAGCCCGCGCTCAGTTCTCCTCCGCGCGGGCGACGGTGTCCTCGTACTTCTTCGCGAACTCCTCGGCGATATGCCGGAAGGGCTCCTCGTGCTCGCCCTCGAGGGCCGACGTCTCGAAGTAGGCGAGGCCGTTGGCCTCGGCGAACTCGACGCCCTTCTCCTTCGTGACGCAGCGGCGGCCCGACTGCGCGAGGTCCTTCTTGTTCGCGACGAGCACGCCGGGCACGGCGGCGCCCCGGCTCCGGCCCTTGCGCACCTGCTGGAGCCACTTGCCGCAGGACTCGAAGGACGCCTGGGACGTGACGTCGTAGACGAGCAGCAGGAAGCTCGCGTTGTCGTAGTGGACGTTGTTCGCCTCGATCTGGTTGAAGATGCTCTGCCCCGCGCAGTCGAAGAGGTAGAGCTCGACGGCCGTCGACGTGTCGGGGATGTTCACCTGCTTGACGCGGAAGTCGACCCAGCTCGTCATCACGTACTGCTTCGGGTAACTCGTGCCTGCGGCGGCGGATCGCGGTCTCCGAACGGTTTCGCGAGCGCGGCGGGCGCGGGCGCACGCGCCGCCGGAGTGGAACATGGAGATGAGCGCGCTCTTCCCCACGGTCGCGTCGCCGACGACGACGACCTTGCAGCGGAGCATGAGGATCGTGCGGTGCGTCGTCTCCATGGATTTGACCGCACTCTGGTAGGGCTCGGCGACGAGGGCCGCGGCCTTGGACGGGGACCGCGCCATGTCGGGCGGCGCGTACGGCGCGGCTTCCTGGTCGGCGCGGCGCCGCGACTGGCCGCTGCGAGGGCTGCCCAGAGGTTCGAACCCGCTCGCGCTCACCGGCCGCTCGTCGGGCAACCTAAACTTCAAGCTCGCCGACAAAAGCCAACATTGATGAGATTATGGCGCTCTCGCAAATCCACTAGAGATGGGCGCCTCGTCGTCGACGCGCGCGCTCGTCGCCGCGGCGGACGGGTCGCCGCAGATCACGCGAGAGCCGTCGTGGCTCAACTTCCGCGAGGCGGCGTCCTACGGCCTCCAGCGCCAGCGGCGGCGGCGGCGCACGCTCGTCGCCCTGGGCCTGGCGTCGCTGGCCTGCGCGGCGCCGTCGGGCGCGCTGCCGGCGCTGCTGCCGGCGCTGACGCTGGGGAGCCGCGGCGCCGTGCGCTTCGACGAGCTGTGCCTGCTGGGCGTCGCGTACCACGTCGGGTCCGCGGTCGCGGCGGCGAAACGAAAGGCGTCGAAGCGCGCGCGGCGGCCGTCGCCGGGCGCCATAGCGCGCCTGCTCGGGGGCTGCGCGCTCGCCGCGGCCGCGCTCGCGGCCGCGCCGCTCGGCGCCGGCGACCGCGGCGCGCGGTGCGGCGCGTTCCTCGCGTCGCGGCTCGTGGCGGGCTACTGCGGCCGCCGCGGCTCCCAGGGCAGGACAAGGGTGATTCAAGTTCGCTTCAACATGAGTGTTCCGCGCGCGCGCGTTCCGGAAATAGCATCCACGCGTCGAGAGCGCTCCGAGGGATGATCGCTCGTCCAAAAATCAGCCGAAACGAGTGGAAATCGGCCGAGAGAGGAGCCTTTGAAGTTGGGAATTTCGCACTCTTGTCCTGCCCAGGCGGCTCCGACGCGCTTCTGGAACTCCTGGGCGACTGCCTCGCGGCCCTCGACCATCCGCCGGAGTCCGCCGTCGAGCTGCCGCCCGCGGATCGGCGCGCGGCGTCGCTCCGGCGGTCCTTCGCGTTGCGATCCGCGCCGGTGGTCGGCGGGGGGTTGGGCTTCTGCGCCGCGCTGGCCGTCGCGGCGCCGGCGACCTACGCGACGTCGACGGGCGCCGGCGGCTGCGCGGGCGTCGAAGATGCGGCGGCGTTCGCGTGGCGCGCGACGCTCGGCGGGTGCGGCGGCGTGCTGGCGGTCGCGGCCGTCGCGCTGCCCGGTGTCGTCCGCGGCGACGCGTTCGCGCGGAGCCCCGCGCGGCGCGACGCGACCCGGCGCGAGTCCGGGTCCCTCGAGGAGGAGGACGTGGGCGCGGACGTCGACGACGCCGCGGACGCGCCCGCCGACGCCCCCGCGGAGAAGGAGCGGCCGGCGCCGTTCGAGGCGCGCGTGCGGTCCGCCGTCGTCGCGCTCGACGCCGGGCTCTGGGTCGCCCACTTCCTGGGCGCGCTCGTGCTCAAGGTGGCCCTGCGGCGGTCGCCGGAGCGGGCCGAGTACCTGACGGTCTTCGCGTACGTCGCGTGCGCGCCGCTCGGCGCGGCCGTCGGCGCCGCGGCGCTGTCCTACCGGTCGTCGCGGCGGCGGCGCTGCGGCGGCGGCGGCGCGCGGCGCGCGACGCGGGGCCGCCTCTTCCGCCTCGACCGCCACGCCGGGGCGTCGCCGCAGCGCGACGCCTACGGGGCCGCGCCGGTGCGGACGTCGGCCGAGGTGCGGCGGTCGCTCGCGAAGCGGCGGCGCGCGTGCTGGGTCGCGCTCGCCTGGGTCGTCGCGGCCTTCGCGCTCGCCGCGGCGGCGTCGGGCATCTCCGCGGACGTGCCGCAGACGCCCGCGGGCGTGTCGCGGCGCGAGCGGTCCGCGCGGCTCGGTCTGGGATCCGTCGCCGCGGCCGTCGCCGCGCTGCCGGCGCTCGCGGTGCTCGCGTCGCCGGCGCGGAGCCCGGCGCTGGCGACGCCGCGGGCGGCCCTCGCGCGCGCGCTGCCCCTCGCCGTCGCCGCCGCGGCGTTTCCCGACGGCGGCGACGGGAGCTTCGGCGCGTCGTGCCTCGGCGTCGCCGCGCGCGCGCGGACGCGGGCCGCCGCGCGCGCCGCCGCGCGCCTCGGCTGGCAGGCGGCCGTCGCCGTCGCCGCGCTGTGCCTCGTCGCCGCGCTCTGCGCCCGGGTCGCGCCGGGCCCCGCGCTCGTCGTCGTCCACCCGGGCCTGCCCGGGGCGACGAGGCCGACGACGAAGCCGCGCTACGAGTCCTTCCCCCTGCTGAAGGCGGACCCGTAACCTTAGGACTTCTCCTCCTCGTCGTCGTCGGACTCGGGCACCGGCGCGAAGACGGACGCCGCGGACCGCGACGACACGGACACGCCGACGGGCTCCGCGACGGGCGACCCCTCCTGCTTCTTGCGCTCGAGGGTCTTCTTGTCCACGGCGCCGCTCCGCAGCGCGATGTCCTCGAGGTAGCTGAGGTACTCGCGGTCCACGGTCGTCACCGCCTCGTCGTCGGACTTGACCTCCGCGGCCGCGACGGCGACGTCGTCGTCGTCGTGCGGGACGCCCAGGTGGAGCTCCGACATCATGGACAGGCGGTGCGTCACGACGGCCTTCTCGTGGTAGTCGAAGAGCTCCGCGGCGACCTCCGCGTAGAAGATCGCCGACGCCGGGATGCCCACGAGCATGTAGGCCGCGGTGAACGCGTAGAAGTGGTAGTGCGGCTCGCCGTGCTGGGACACTCGCAGCCCCGCCGTCGTCATGTTCGTGATCGTCCACAGGAACAGGTCGCCGACGCGCCGGAAGCCGCAGCAGTAGTAGGCGATCACCACGCCGACGCCGACCATGAAGACGTAGAACGAGCCGAGCACGGAGATGACCGGCGAGAAGCCCGCGATCTTGAACCGCGCGATCTTCTCCGGGTGGTCGCTGCCCGCCACGTAGCGCTTCGCGCGGTCGCTGGAGATGCGGAACGTCAGGCCGATGCCGCCGACGATGAGCACGGACCCGCAGATGCAGAAGAAGACCTCGAACCACTTGGAGATGGCGCCGCCCGCGTGCTTCTTCGCCGAGCCGACGCCCATGCCCACGTTCACCTACGACGCGCGTCCGTGTGTCCCCCCCAATGCTCGTCGCGGGACCCGTTCCCCCCCGCCCCAAATGCTCTCCCCAATAAATCTCTCGAACGTCGGACGCCGGCGTCGAACCGCGTAGTAAATGGAGTAGGACGCGCTCCAGCCGTTGTCCATCTGGAAGAAGGTGAACCACATCGTGCCGACGCAGATCCAGACCGCGACGGACGCGCCGAGGTCCATCGCGAGGACCTGGAGGGGGTCGTAGCCCGCGCGCCAGACGTGCCACCGGTGCCACAAATCGCCGACCCACTCGGGCATGAAGAGGTCGCCGCATTCCGCGCCGCAGACGAGGTCGTCGACGTAGGGCTCCAGCGAATCCGCGCGGTCCCGCCGGTCCTTCGCGGGACGCGGCCGCGCGCCGTCGCCGGACCGCGGCGCGAGCGACGCCGCGAGGCCCTCGAGGTAGCTTAGCACGTCGGATCGCACGGCGACGTCCTCCTTCTCCGGGGGCAGGAGCGGCTTCGCGACGGCCGGCTGGTGCATGCTGTGCGTCCGGCCCCGGAGCGGCACGCGGATGATCGACGGGCGCCGTTGTATGGTCACGCGCTCGTGGTAGTCGAAGTAGTTGTCGCAGAGCTCGGCCATGAAGATGCCCGCGATGGGGATGCCCACGATCAGGAAGACGCCCGTCGCCATGAAGTTCTGGAACGTGTAGTGGCCCAGCAGCAGGCCCGACGTCTGCAGATACGTCACCGACCAGAGCAGCAGGTCGACGAACGCCGTGTAGCCCGCCGCGTAGTAGGCCACGAGGCAGCCGTAGGTGACGACCACGGCGTAGGCGGCGCCGAAGACGACCTTCTTCGACGGCCCGCCGTCGCGGCCGAAGATCTGCTGGCGGTCCGCGCGCTCCGAGAGGATGCGGTAGTAGACCCCGAGGCCGCCGACGACGAGGCAGTTGCCCGTGCAGCAGTAGAAGCACTCGAAGACCTCGACGGCGCCGAGCGTCGGCTGGTAGGGCACGTTGCCCACGCCTAAACCGATGTTCGCGCTGTAGAAGAAACTGTACGCGCCCGTGAACTCGCCCTGGATCGACTTCTGGGCCGACAGGTAGAAGACCGCCGTGCCCGTGGCGATCCAGGCCCCGACGATGAAGAGCAGGTCGAACCCCAGCAGCGTCGCCGGCGTGCAGTTGTCGCGGAACTCGCGCACTTCGCCGGCGACGTACGCCCAGCACGACGTGCGGCCGGCGCAGTAGGCCGCGGCCGCGCCGGGCTCCGCGACGACGGGGCCCTCGTAGGGGTCGCCGACCACGCGCGGCTCCCCCGCCGCCTCCATCCCCGGAGCCGGTCGGGGGCTGCCTGTTCGTGGCTGGCCAGCTCGGAGCGGGCGAGGTCGCAATCTAATTTAGTTGCACTTCACCTTGCAGACCTGTGGCAACTACTGCTCAGATGATGGCGTGAGGGCCCGCATCATGGTCGAGGAATCCAAGTGGGAGCCCGACGCCGCGTGGCAGGACACGTCGGAGCCGCCGTCGTCCGTCGACGAGCCGGAGCTGCCGTCCTCCGAGCCGGAGCCGTCGTCGCAGGACGAGCGCGCGCTCGACGAGCGCGACCGGGACTTTACGGAAATCTTCGCGTCGCTCTGGCCCACGCTCGCACCACCACCCGCGAAACCGGCGCGCCAAAGGTCCCTGCTCGGGCGGGCCAAGGCGGCGGCGAGTTGGGCCTGGTTCGGCCCCGACGACGGCGCGCTCGAGGACCGCCTCGGCGCCGAGGACGTCGCGTCCTACTGGGCCGCGGACGACGCGACCAAGCTCCGGCACGTCGAGCGGGAGCACGACGCCCGGGTTGCGCTCGCCGCCGCGCGGCGCGACTGCGCCGGCGACTTCGACACGGACCAGCTCACGCGGGCGGAGCTCGCGGA